ATAGTCAAGATAGGGAAAAAACCTAAATGTCCATCAACAGATAACTGGGTAAAGAAGTTGTGATACGTATATACACATATACACAATGGAATAATACTCAGCCATAAAAAAGAATGAAATAATGTCATTTGCAGCAACATGGATGGACCTAGAGATTATCATACTAAGTGAAGTAAGTCAGACAGAGAAAGACAAATATTATATGATATCATTTATGTGTGAAGTCTAAAAAAATGACACAAATGAACTTATTTACAAAGCAGAGATAGACTCGCAGACATAGAAAACAAACTTACGGTTTCCAGGGGGAAAGGGGTGGGGGAGGGATAAATTGGGAGTTTGAGATTAGTAGATGCAAACTACTATATATAAAAGAGATAAAAAAAGATAAACAACAAGGTCCTACTATATTTAATATCTTGTAATAAACCATAATGGAAAGACTCTGAAAAAGAATATATGTATATATACATATATAACTGAATCACAATGCTGTACACTAGAAACTAACACAACATTGTAAATCAACTATACTTCAATTTTTAAAATGCTATTATAAATAATACTGTTTTTAAATTTTGATGTCCAACTATTTCTTGATACAATTGATTTTTGTATAGAATCTTATATTCTGCAAACTTGCGAAATTTATTTACTAGTACTAGCAGCTTTCTTGGTGGATTTCTTAGGATTGTATAAATAGCTAATTATATCATCTTCAACTTAAAGAAACAATTTTACTTCTTCCTTTTCAGGCTGTATACTTTTCATTCTTCTTTCTTGCCTTATTACCTTGGTTAGGACCTCCAGTACAGTATTAAATAGAGCTATACACTGGAAATGGGTACATTTTATTGAATGTAAATTATTATATATGTTAAAGTAACTGAACAAGGAGACTATTATACTGAGGTGGCTCTAATGACTTGGTAGCTTACATAAGCAAACCAAAACCTAAGCCAGAATAAATTGAGAATGCGCTTATATCCCAGAAGTTAAGATTTAAGACCGACCAATCACGAACAGCCAACTAGGTCTTCCCAAATAAAGCAACTGCTTAAGTTATAACCAGATAATTTCCTTGCTTTGCTTTATTGTCTGCTCTACAAGAACCTTTCTTCTAGCTTCTGTCAGCAGAGTGCTCCTATTTTGTAACCAGTTTTGGTTTGGTGTTGCCTGATTCAAATTGATATTTGCTCAAATAACTTCTTGTAAATTTTGATGTGCTTCAGTTTATCTTTTAATGTTTCTTAATAACACTAATTTTTTAATTGAACTGAATAGAATACAAAAGTAAAAAGTTAAACAGGCCCTTTTTTGGTGTGATGGGCATTGAATCACAGGTGCAAAAGAATTGGATTGAGCTGAGAAAATAATAAAAGAAATGGAAAGAATGATAGCCAAAATTAAGAAAGAAGTTATTGGGAAGTGTGAAAATGATTGAAAAAAATAAAAGCGAAAATACTGAAGGTTTTCAAAAGTATAATGGTGGAACAGGAGGAAGCATAATGTGAAAAATATTAAGGTAATATTTAACTTGTGAAAAACTTTAGGAAATGTATGAAGAAGCTCTCTGTAATGGGGATAGAGCAATAAATAAGGAGAAATTATTTTAAAAATGGTTAAAAAAACCCAATTTCTTATTAATACAGGTCAGTTATTATGGTTTTAGAAACTTGTCAATATCTTGGGTTTTTTTTTAAATATTGTTTCTACAATTTAATCTCTAAGTGTGTATCTCCCCAATATTTAGTTTAATGTATAGAGTAAATTCTGACTTTTGGTTTCTAAACCACACTGGCACATGACTCCCCCAACCCCTTTCTGGTAATATATTTCTAGTCTACAACATGTGGAAGCAAAAATAAATAGAACTTCCTTGAACTATGAACTAAGACTAATAGCAAGCCTAGTTGCTATATTACAGGTCCCAACTTCTAATTACTTAACAATACATTTTCTTTTTTATGTTTAATTAACCAGGTTTTGCTGTATAGAGACAGAAATAAAAGGGCAAATAAGCCCTTTCTTGCTTTTCCTTTTTATAACTCTAAAAACACCTGATAATCATTTGCTTTTTTTAATCAGTTACTCAGTTTTCTAAAGTTAAAAAAAAATCGTTTAAAGATAAAATTGCTTGCCAAGTGTATTTTCTTCTCATTTTCTCCTAATTATCAAAAAAACCACAACTTTTTGAAGCCCCATTTAAATCACCCCTATTTCCTTCTCTGTGACATTATACCAAGTGAAGAGGGAGAAAACCAACACTTGTTCAATATGAGAAAACAAACCAATAGGTAACCATTATTCAAATCCCCATAGCTAGGACATGTTGAAGGATTTCTCAAGCTTATGCTCACACGCTACTCTCTGCTGCTTCACAAGGCTTTCAATGTTTAACCTTTCTAATTCATTTTCAATTCTACTGACGCTCAGACTTTTTCTGCTAGATTTTAACTTCTGTCAACTTAACTTTTTTTTTCTTCTTTTAATGGAGGTACTGGGGATTGAACCCAGGACCTCATGCATGCTAAGCAGGCACTCTATTGCTGAGCTGCACCCACCTAAACTCTTTAAAAGAGCTAAGCTCTTCTAGAGTCTGAACACTAGACTTGGGAATAGAGTTAATTCTGTTAAAAAATATAACTTTTAAAGGCCACAAACAGCCAGTTTTTAAAGGTAGACTTAAAGGTTTTTGTTTTTCTTTTGTTTCGTCAACATCTAAGAGGGTTTATTCTATTAAGACTAAGTGTGAATGAAATATTTGTACCTGTTTCCACAGTAACTTTTATTCCTAATTGTGAAAAATGTCTTCATTTTTCAGGTCAGGTAAGGAAACTATATTAAACATGTTATATGATAAAATGCCAGCCTATAATTTAAAAGAGGTTATAAAATAGAGAAGACATAAATGTATATATTGAGTTCTTATTTGGAGTTATTGCATGATTCAGTTCTTGAATTTCTATTTGATTTTTCTTCAAATCTGTCTTGCCCTCAACCTCTCCTATTAACAAAAATAATAATTTCCGATTCTCTGCTGAGATTTTCAATCTTGTGCTTTACCTCCTTAAATACTATGAAATATAATTATTTTAAAGCCTGTGGCTGACAACCCCAATGTCAGAACCCTGGCATGACTAAGTCTATTTTCTGTTGTTACTACTGGTTCTCCTTCAAGTAGCCTAATCTCTTTATGTGCCTAATGATTTTGCTGGTAGGCGTTGTATTTGAAACATAGAAGTAACCTGAGGCCATGGTGTTATCTTCTACCCAAAAGTGCCTCAGAGCATTAGCAACTGGGATTCCCTAAATCCAATTTCAAGGATTAAAACGATAGCCTCAAAACCAGGCTAAAATTCCTAGCAGGGCAATTCTACTTCTCGCTTTGACTTGATCCTAGTGTAGGGGCTTGCATGTTCCCAACCCGAAACTAGAGGGAAAATTTAGATGCTCCCTCTGCCGAGAGCAAGCCACTCTGGATGTTTAATGGCATCAGAAGAGATAGAAACAAGTGGGCATCCTGAGTAGGTGCCCGATTTTGTACATACTCAATCGATGTCCCTGAAATAGTAATTTGACATTTAAAGTACTGAAAAGTACTGAGTACAGGAAAGGTGGAATAAAGATCACTTCTTCAGTGTCCTCAAGCAACCAATATAATCCTGAAATTAATTGGAACTCTCCCTCCTAAGAAATTCTGGGTCCCAACCTGTCTTTCAGCCCTTGACCTGCTGTCTCACTGGCTGCTGAGTGGTTCACTTCCTCACGCATTCCAGTCTTTACACAAACGCTGCCATCTTAATGTGGCATGGCTGATGACCCTATTTAAAAGGGGAACCTCTCCCTTTCCTGTTTCTCCTTACCCTACTTGGCTTTCTTTTTTTCATAAACTACTCATTGTCCACTGTGCTGTGTAATTTACTTTATTGATCATGCTCATACTTATTATGTCTCCCCTGAAGAAATGCTGCAAAGACAGGAATCTTTGCTTTTTTCACTGATAAATCCTAGCATCCAGAATAGCATCTATTTGAAGCAGCCACTCTGAGACCTTCATGGATACAACAGGGAGTGTCTCAGAGGTCTCACCTCTCACTTCTAACCCACTGTTTATCAAACATTTTTTCCCAACTACTTACAGCCCTGTCCTTGAGGACCAACAGCTTCTGGGAGGAACAACTCAGAAATAAACACAATCTGAAACACACTAGGTGTTTACTAGCAAGTGTGCAAAGAAAATGTGTCTACATTTGAGTAGAATTTCTACACAGATATTTTTCAGTGATTGGAATGCAGGAAAGGGCAGACATTTCAGACACACCTGAAGTCTTTTTACTCATGAAGTTTCTTGTTAAAGAATCACTGAGGTGCATGATTTCTATACACACTGCTCCACATTTACAAAGTCAACAGCGCATCCAGGTATCTGGTGACCTGTACTCACGTGACATGGTTGGGGAACAGGAGATAAATAAAGGATCTTGCTGAAAACCAGCCAATCAAACAAGAAACCCAAACCATTTCCTGTACCTCTGTACGTTTGTGGTAATATTTCAGATTTAGAAATTGTAGGTGATTGTTCCTGGATCCTGCCTGTCTGACCCACCCTTAGTTTGGCCATACACCTCACAATAAGGATGGTCTTAGAGATTTCTAATGTATTCTAAACCTCATGGGCTACCACGCCCTGCATCTGTCTCCACAATAGAGATGATTTTGCCCAGAAGCGGATTACCTCTCCTTCAGAATACTTCTGGATAGTTCTAGATTAGGCTTGTT